TTTTTTTTTTTTTTTTTTTTTTTTTTTTTGAGACGGAGTCTTGCTCTGTCGCCAGGCTGGAGTGCAGTGCGTGATCTCGGCTCACTGCATCCTCTTGCCTCTGGGTTCAAGCAATTCCCCTGCCTCAGCCTCCTAAGTAGCTGGAATTACAGGCACCTGCCAACACACCTGTCTAATTTTTTGTATTTTAGTAAAGACGGAGTTTCACTAGGACTTTTAGTATTTTAAGTATATATATATATATGTGTGTGTGTGCGTGTGTGTGTGTGTGTGTATATATCTTTCTTTTTGCTCTGTCACTCAGGCTAGAGTGCAATGGTGCCATCTTGGCTCACTGCAGCCTCTGCCTCCTGGGTTCAAGTGATTTTCCTGCCTCAGCCTCCCGAGTAGCTGGGATTATAGGAGCAAGCCATCACACCTGGCTAACTTTTGTACTTTGGTTTCACAAAATAGACTGGGTTTCACCAAGCTGGTCTCAAACTCCTGACCTCAGGTGATCCATCTCCTTTGGCCTCCTAAAGTACTGGGACTGCGCGCGGCCTCTTATGTATATAGTCTATCAAAGATACAGTCGTTGCATGTTACAGCAACATTTGCTTAATTATCTTTGCTTGGTTATCTTATTCTGAAAGTGTTCATTCAGTTACAAGTAAAGGAATTCAACCACTTAATTCAGGTTGTTGTAGCTTGCTCACAGGTGTGGGATGTAACAATATTAAAATCAATTTTAAACACCTATTTTCTCTTAACAGGAATCTCTGAAGGAAGAAGATGAATCAGATGATGATAATATGTAACACTGACTCCAGCATCTATTGTATTTTAAATTTCTACTCCACTGTAACTATTTAGCCCTGTGGATTATAAATACTGTCCAATTTTCATTAAATTTTTGTCTTATAACGATTGAGGTTTGATTAATATCTGCTTTACAAAATTGGTGGGGGTAAATGAGGACATTTACTTAATATTAAAATATAGATTTATGACTACTAAAAAATTCCTTGGTTAAAATACTGCAGAATTAATTCAAAGACTACAGATTAATTAATTCAAAGTCCCATTCTCAACTAGAATTTACAGATCATATTCTTCTGGGCTTTTGTACCAAAAGCACCGACCAACTCAGTGGACAAATAATTGATACTGCTTCCCACTTTCACATTTATTGAAATAAATGGTGGTCATCAATCACTGTTAATCTTTAGGTGTAATACAGATGACAGATGTTTCAGTTTTGAATAGTTTTTCAAAAACTGTTTCTTCTCAGCATGGTACAGCTCAAAAAAGATCGTTTAATACATGAATCAAGAATGTTTTTGCTTTTTTCCTTTATTATGGTGAGGAGTGGAATTAAGGATCAATAAAGTCCCTATTCTGTAACTACAAATTTTTCTTCATCTCTAAAGATTCAAATAAAAATACCAACATCAGACAGCTTTCATGTTAAAAATAAGAATTTATATGAAAGTGCTCTGCAAACAGAATTGTTACTAAGTGGAATAAACAGTACTGTAGCCTAAAAGAATAACTTTGTTAATTAAGCTGAAAAGCAGTACTCAGCTGAAAAGCAGGAACAATCTGAACTCAGGCCATGTATACACACCCTCTAGTGGACTCATGCCAGTGTCACTCATTCAATGCTATGCTTCCCTAAGAAGGTAATCTAGCCACTGAATTTAGGTGCAGGGTATTTGGACTTTGAGCATTTGTGTAGTTTAAATAGCAAATCATTACACCTGCATATTAATAGCTAACTACTACACAAATAACTCAAAACCAGTAATGTCATTACCATGGCTTCTTTTATGTAACATCTGCTATATTTTACAACTTAAAATATATTTTAAAACATTAATGCATATGGCTCAAGCAATCCTCCCACCTTAGCCTCCTGAGTAGCCGGGACCACAGGCACGTACCACGCTTGGCTAACTTTTGACAATTTTTTGTATAGACAGCATCCTATTATATTGCCCAGGGTGATCTTGAACTCCTGGAGTTGAGCAATCTGCCCACCTCAGCCTCCCAAAATGCTGAGATTACAGGCATGAGCCACCATACCTGGCCACAATTCATATATTTAATTGTGAATGATACAAGTGTTGGTCTTGGAAAAATACAGGGAACAATACTAAATTGAATCCATTTACAGAAAGATAAACTGACTCTCCCTAAGCCAGTCTATGGTCATTCCTATACTTTCCCAAAGTTCCAAAGTATGAATGGCACATAAATCTTCAATAATTCTTTGAATGTATCTATTCTTACATTCATATCAGCATAGTTAAAACCCTCTTCAAAAGACACTGGTTCGGCTGGGTGCAGTGGTTCACGCCTGTAAGGCTGAGGTGGGTGGATCACCTGAGGTCAGGAGTTCAAGACCAGCCTGGCCATCATGGTGAAACCTCATACTAAAAAAAAAAAAAAAAAAAAATTCCTTTTAAAAAGGAAAAAAAAAAAAAAAGACTGGCTCATTTTTTTTGAGACAGAGTCTCGCCAGGCTGGAGTGGAGTGGTGCAGTCTTGGCTCGCTGCAACCTCCACCTCCTGGGTTCAAGCAATTCTCCTGTGTCAGCCTCCCAAGTAGCTGAGACTACAGGCATGTGCCACCACGCCCAGCTGATTTTTTGTATTTTTGATAGAGACGGGATTTCACCATGTTGGCCAGAATTGTTTTCCATCTGTTGCCCTTGTGATCCGCCTGCCTTAGCCTCCCAGAGTGCTGTGATTACAGGTGTGAGCCAATGTGTCTGGTTGTAAAAAATACTGGTTCTAAAGAAACCTAAATATGAGCAGCTAAGCTACTACAGAGGCCATAATACAAGTAGATATACCTAGCTCTACAGCTCTTATAAAAGAACGCTAAGTGATTTTCTTTTTT